AGGTTTATCGTAAAGTTTTGTCCATTCTGACAAACATCGGTTCAATTTTCATATCTCTCTTTAATTAATTAATATTTATCTATTATCATTATTTATAATTTTTTATTATAATGTGATGACAAAATTTGTATATTGTATTTTTACAAAATGTGTTATCCCTAAAGACGAAAACATTGAACCGGTGTTTGTCAAAATGGACAAAACTTTCCGGTAAACCTAATATTTTATAAAATAATAACTTGATTAATATTTGTGCCCATGATTAAGAAAGTGCTCTAAGTCATGTATCTCTTGTTTCGAGATATTTAACACGTTCACGCTGGCGTGTACCACCGGTGGCCCGCAATAGACTATCTCATCGGGCGGCTTGTACCACCGGTGGCCCGCATTAGACTATCTCATAGGGCGGCTTGTACCACCGGTGGCCCGCACTAGACTGTCTTATCGGGCGGCGCGTACCACCGGTGGTCCACCTTGGTCCAGGTTTGAATAAGTAAAAATCAAGCGCCGCCAGATGAAGCGCATCTTAGATTCGTGTGCCGTCCTACAGCGCAGACACTGAAAATCGGCGCCGGCGTCAACGTGTTAAAGATTTCTATTTGAACATTATATGAATTCTATGTAATATCGAAATAACAAACATTAACTAATGAATTCATTTTTTGACAATATCGTTTTCAAATTACATTGAATTTATTTAGTTGAAAATAATGTAGCGCATAATAACTGATAAATTCATTTTTTTTTTTTTTTACTAATTTTGACTTACAATTAAGACCACTTTCATAATTAGGGACACATTTGTTAATAATTATTATAGGAAGTTTATAATTTATTTCAAAGATAAATTTGATCCTTCGATTTATTCGTTGATATTTTTTTTTTTTTTGGGCAATTCGAATTCTAATGTTTTGTTTATATTTCTTATTATCAAAAGTTCGATTGAATGTCGAATAAATATTTTCTTATTTACATTTCGTAAACTTTATATTTGTACAGATAAATATAAATATTTAACGACTTTTAATTTTAACTTAAAGGCGAGTACTTGTGAATATTATTTTTAAATTTTATATATATATATATATATATATGTGTAATTTATCTTATCTACCAACCAATTTCTTCGTTCAAACAATGTTCGTAAGTTTTTAAAAAATTAGTCAACAAAACATCTGTAAATTTAATGTTAAATAAATATATTTATAATACAGAAGTCATATGTTTTAAAATATTGTAAAATATTGTACTGTATTTATTTATTATGTTTATTATATTTATTATATTATTTTTTATATTTTATATTAATTTATTATATTTAAAATATTGTACTGTATTTAATATTTATATTTATATATTATATAAACATATTATATATATACTTATATATAAATATAAATATTTTATTAACAATACAATATTTAAAAAAATATTTTAACGTATTTTATCTTAACCTACAAGAAAAAAGAAAAGCAATTTTTTGATAATCAATTAAAATGATAAAAAATTACTTAAAAAACAAAAACAAAAAAAACAAAAAGAAAAAAACCATAAAACAAAAGACAAAAATAAAATCAACAACAAAAAAATAAACAGCCACACCAACAACCAACCCTAACCAACGTAACACAACACAACTACGTGAATCAGTGTGAAGTTGGAGTCAAATTTCGAGATTGAAATTTGCAAAAATTCGAGTCCTTTATTCTCTGATCTTCTTCTATTCTCTCTCTGATCTTCTTTCTAATTTTCGTCAGGCGATATAAATATTCGTGGATGACTCTCTTTCCCCTTTTTCACCTCCACCCATCTTTCTCACTCTAACGAATTTACGTTTCCTTTTACCATCCTTCTCTCTCTCTCTCTCTCTCTCTCTCTATCTCTATCTCTTTCTCTTTCTCTTTCTCTTTCTCTTTCTCATCCACTGTGTTCCTTCTCTCTTTTTATCTATCTATATTTCTTTCTTTCTCACACACGTTATAATATCTTCACCCTATTTCTCTCTTGTACGAGAACGATCATGGAGACAGCGAGAGTACGTTCTTTCTTTTTCTTTCTTTTTCTTTCTTTTTCTTTCTCTTCGTTTCTTATTTTTTCTTTCTTTTATTCTTCTAAATTTTTTTTTGTTTTTTGCTTTTTTTTTTTCCAACTACACTCATAAGTTTCTCTTATTCGGTACGAAGAAGTTCGGTACGATGACGATCGTAAAGAGACAGGCAAGAAACTTTGAATTTATTCTTCTTCTTCTTCTTCTTCTTTTTTTATTTTTATTTTGTTGATTCTCTTATTTTTGATCTTACTTTTTCTAATATTTTGCTTTTTAAAAATGAATAAGAAGAAATTGAAATCTATTTCTTTTTTTTTTATTATTATTATTAGCGGGACCGCGAAAAGTAATGTCTTTTACTACGTATGTCAAATTATTTCTAAGATTTTTAATCAAAAAAATTGAGTTTGATGAATTGTTTCGTTACAATATTTAAAATTTGATTACTAAATAGAAAAAGATTGTTGATAATTTGATTATATTAATCTTGATAATTAATTTAATTATTGAATTATAATAAAAAATTGTTTGGATAATTTATTGGTTTGAATTTTGAGGTTAAAAAGTGACATAGCTTTTCTGGTTCACTTAATATTGAATCTTTATTTTGATTTATTTTTCTTCATTCTTCTGTATTTTTTCTTTCTTCTTAAAAATGAATAAGAAGAAATATAAATTTATTTTTTTTTTATTAGCGAGACCGCGGAAAGTAATGTTACTACGTATGTCATATTATTTCTAAGATTTTCAATCAAGAAAAATGATTGTGATGAATTGTTTCGTTACAATATTTAAAATTTGATTGCTAAATAGAAAAAGATTGTTAATAATTTGATTATATTAATCTTGATAATTAATTTAATTATTGAATTATAATAAAAACTTGTTTGGATAATTTATTGGTTTGAATTTTGAGGTTAAAAAGCGACATACTTTAACTTTTCTGGTTCACTTAATATTTAATCTTTATTTTGATTTATTTTTCTTCACTCTCGTTTATTTTTTATTTCTTCTCGAAAATGAAGATGAAGAGATCAAAGTTAAAAGTTAACTTCATTTTATTCTGCTGTTTTTGCTGATTAATATTTTCTTTTTAAAAATGAAGAAAATATTTCAATCAAAATATTCTTCATTTTCTACTTCATTTTGTACTTTTTTTTTCTTTTTTACAAATTCTAATTAATAATTATTTTTGCAAATTTTTATTCAATTTCTTTTATTTTCTGCTTCTTCAACTTCTTCTTCTTCTTCTTTTTATTATTTTACTTTTGTTTTCCATTTTCTATCTTTTGTTTCATTTCTTTAATTTTTTTTTTTTTTTTTTAATTGTTAGTCACGCCATTTTTTTCCCCTTTTGTTCTTATTATTCAATTTTTCTTTGATTATTTTTATTAACTTAATGAACATTGTCCATATTCTTGACCATCAAAATCAAAGAAAACTATTAATTCATTCATCTCAATCTTCACATTATTCTTCACCATTTTTTTTTTTTTATTTCTCGCAATAAATCATCATCATCAATCACAATTTTTCATTTTCAATATTTTAATTTCAAAAAAAAAGAAAAACAAAAGAAAAATATCCCCCCGTTTGAACATGTCAATCTTCATTTATCGATTTTTCAATTAAATTTTCTATCAATTCATTCCCATCCACGTTTCTACTTTCAAGGAATTTTTTTACAATCGGATATAAAACAAAAAGAAGACAACGGTAGGGGGTGGGGGTGTGAAAAAAGGGGGCTGAAGAATCATTAAACCCCAGGACCTAAAAGAAAAAAAAAAGAAAAGAAAAGAAGAAGCCGACAAAAAAAGGAAACAATAGAAAAAGATACTTAAAAAAAAAGGTAAGAAAACCAATAGAAAAAAAAAAAAATAGATTTAAAACAAAACAAAAAAAAACACAGGAAAAGAATTCGATAAATTCTTTCGAGAATAGAAAAAAAAAAAACGAAATAAATTGAAATTAAACCGAATGGAGAATAGGAAAAGGGAGGAACAGGAAAATAACCAATAGAAAAATGTCTGAAGTGTGTTTGAGTGGGGGAAAAGGTAAATGAGGAATTTCCTACAGGTTGGAATCTAACCTAACCTAACAAGAGACACACAGAAAGAGATAGAAAATAAGAAATCAAGAAAAAAAAGGAGGGGGGGGGTAGATAAAAAAAGGAACAAGAGTAAATAAAGATAGAAAGATAGAAAGATGATATGCAAATGAAAAAAAAAAACAAAAGATAAAGAAAAAAAAAGGACAAAAAATATACATATATATATATATGGATAGTGAAAAAGAAAGAGACAGCATGAAATACGAAGAAGATGAAGAACAAGATGAAGAAGAAGAAGAAGAAGATGAAGATGAAGAAGATATAATAGGAAGTGGGGGAAGAAGAGTGAAGGGAAATGGAGGCGGAGTTCTTCGAGTGTATACGTCATGAAGAAATCCTCCTTCACCATCAGAAAACTCTAAGCATTCGTTGGAAACGAGTCGTAAATTGTGCGGGAATCCCTTAAATCGACAGTTTAATTCAAAACTTGTTCGACTAAATTAACGAATTGTTATTAACAATTTAAAAAGAAAAAAACAAACAAAAAAAAACACAACAACAACAACAACAAACTTGTGATATATGTGTTTTAATTGCGGTAATAATCAATTATAAATTTTATACAGTATATATATATATATATATATATATATATATATATATCTATATGTATATAAATAAATATATATATGACATTTACTTATTATTAATTGAAATGGTTCGTTAAAATTATGAAAAATTGTTTTCATTGAAATATATTTTCAATTTATATATGTATATATATATAGATAGATATGTGTGTGTGCGTGTGTTTGTGTTATAACGAATAGTAATTATTTTATATAACCATTATTATTATATTTTTTATTCGACGTTAGTGAAAAATATTGTTGCAAGGAAACAATGCAAGCCACATTAACGGGTCAGACTAACAGATATCAAAATCATTATATCGTGGATAGTAACGATAGTTCCGGTATTCCGCAGAGCGACGGAAGTTCAATAAGCGATTCTCCACATCCCTGTGAACCTTTATCACCGGCTACACGCTTGATGGATCATAGTAATACTCCGGAACATCACGATGTGACTACTTTCCAACACCATCAGCAACAACATCAGCATCAACATCATCTTCAACAATCTCAACATCAGCAACATCCGATACATCCTAGTCATTCTCAACTAGATCTACGTACATTTGCTCATCACAATAATAATAACAATAGTAGTAGTAATAATAATAATAATAATAATAATAATAATAATATTAGTAGTAGCAAAAATAATAATAATAATAATAATAATAATAGTATTGACAGTAACAAAAACAATAATAATAAAAATAATCTACAATCAGTTTATCAATCAGCAACTTCAAATTATATGATTTATGATAATCTCGAAGAACACAAAAGATTTCATCCTCAAGAACATCAAAGTGTTAAAAGTGTATTGGAACATTCATCATCGTCAATTGTTTATGATAGAAGATTGAACTCGCCGGCATTTATTTCTGAACAAAATCGAGAACAGGAACAGCCTGCTAATATTTTTCTACCAGCATCCCCTGGACAAGTTTGTGCGAGAATAATTGGACACCATCCTGGTTCGGTAGTTTGGAATTCTACACAGGATTATAAAACTGAAATTGATGATCAACATCAACACCAACAACCACAACTTCATCATCATCATCATCATCATCATCATCATCAACAACAACCACAACCACAACCTCAACAATTTCATCAACAACCACAACCACAACCCCAACCCCAACCCCAACCCCAGTTACAACAGGATTACAAACAAATACCAATTGAACCAGAACAACACCCCGAATCGTCTGATAAAGATTTTGTAAATTCTCGGAGTGGTGTTAAAAAAAAAAGAAAACTCGTACAAAGCGAGGATTCCGAGACGGAACATGCCACGTCGTCCTCGGGTAAAATGAAATTACGTCGTAAGAGTGGTGCCTCTATGGAGGAAATACATAATCAAAGGGTTATGGCTAATGTACGTGAACGTCAAAGGACCCAAAGTCTTAACGAAGCATTTGCCGCATTAAGAAAAATCATTCCAACATTGCCAAGTGACAAATTATCTAAAATACAAACATTGAAACTTGCGACAAGGTACATCGATTTCCTGTATCAAGTTCTTCATTCTAATATACAATATAATATGGAGGATTCCGGTAAGGGTATCAATATTATGGGTATTAAAATTAGATCTGTAACAGATATACCTCAATTCTTTTATAACATGGTACAAATCAATCGAGATGATTATCTTTGGTAAGTGCACGAACTTATGCTATTAACATCATTCATCATTCTCATCATTCATGTTTTGTCTTTATCCCATAACATACAATATTATTTTTACAGTGGGTGTAGTACAATAATCAATCTCAAATAAAATGTTGCGATATTGTAATTTATTAATTAATTAATTTTTTTTTTTTTACAAAATTTTGCGAGTTCAACTGATGCCGATAATGCTTTTACAAACATAACTGACGAGGTCAATTGTAATTAGAAACAAAATTACGTGATGTTTTTACAGTATGGTTTATGTACAAAACTCATTTGCAAATAGTTCGAAATAAAAACTGTATAAACTGTATTTATTGTTCGTATGTTTCTGCCAATTTTTTTTCGATTTTTCTCTTATATCAATTTTTTATTTTATTATATTTATTATAAAAAGAGTCTGAAGAATATATGTACAAATTTATTGTTTATGAAAAATTAGTTAAACTGCAATTTCACAAAATTTTATTTCAAATTGATCGGTATACTTTCTTCTACACTCACTGTACATGTTGAAAAGAGTTTCCTTTTTTGTTTCCAAAAATCTTGTTTTGTTATTTTTATTTTTGAGAATAATAACAATCCTTCAATTGCAATATTGTTTTTTATGTAGATTCCTATATGGGTTTTGATTGAAAACCCTCTTCTGGGAATATCAAAGGTTTTTTTCTGTAATAACTTTTTTCATTAAGAGTTAATACGGTTGTTATGGGGTTATTATGTTAGAATGATGTAGTCTTATTTTAAATCAAAGTTTTTCTAAAAATCAATTACAATACATTTGTTGAATTATTCTATTACGTTAATGGTTTTCTAATCAATTTTTTGTTTTCATTAGTGCAGTTATGATATTATTAAAATAACAAGAAATAAAACAATATTAAATCATAATTTTATACAATAATTTTTAATATAGTTTAACAAACAAATTTCATTAATATTCAGGAAACATTAATAGAATTTTTGTAATAAATTTTTTTTTTTTGTATTAATTAGGTTAAACGTTGTTGTATGATAGAATGACTGTAGTTTTAACTTTAATTAATGTATAATACAGCTTTAAAATCCTCATGTAGTATTTTATTGTCCTACACCATTTCATTTATACTATTTTGTTTTGATAATTTGTATGTTCTTCATTTAATTAAAACAATAAATGTATGTAAGCACTGTAAATATCTGTATAAACGTTTTGTTTTAATACCTTATTTATTATTTTCATCAAACACAATGCTACAATTAATACAAATCATTATACCAGGCATTTTTTTTTATAACATTTGTTTATTTCACTGCATGCAATTTCTAATAATACCTTTTTTCATATTACATTGTTACTGTTTTTGCTTAATGTAATGATTAACCTAATTTAATGTATCATTAGACTTGTATTTTACAGCACTACAATTTAAACAATTTTTGGTTTGTATATGTTTCTTTTTTTTGTAAACTATAGTTTTTTTTTCTTCACATAATCCAATTATTAACAAAACACTAATGACAAACATTGTTTGTAATTAATCCAATGAAATAATATTAACAGAATCAAATTTATGTTGCATGATTTTGTAAATATTAATAACACTAATATGGTATCACTGTAATAATCTTGGTTTTATTATTGATTTTTCAAATGTTATATTATTCCAATAATTTATAGAACAAGTGACCATGTTATAGGATAGTTGAGTGTTTTCATTTTTTTATTGATAATTTTAAAAATTAATTCTCTCCTATCATCATTTTATTGTAATCTCCCTTTTTTCTCAAAACCCCTTGTCATCCTTTTTATTCATGTTTTTAAATGTAAATCATTGAACATTTTCTTTCCATGGGAATTACATTTATCATACTGACAACTCAAAAGCTTTTTTTTTTTCAAATTTTATGGGGTTGTTTGTAATTTGGAATTAAACAAAAAAAAAAAACAAAAAGAAAAAAATTCAGAATTTAATTTATTATATATAGTATGTATATGTATATATATACTGTATTCTGAGTTAAACTTCATTACTTTAGAATAATTTATTTAGATGAAGATTCTATACAGAAGCTTATGTTTACAGGAACCACTATAGTGTTTATTTACGGGATAGGCTAATTAAACAGTCAGAGTGCTTGAAGTCCTGTAATTTACGGGCTTCTGTAAGAACACTGAGAAACGGGTTCTCATTCTAATGGGGGGAGGAAGAAACACTTAAATAACCTGATTCGTTTTCAAACTTTCTTTTTTTTTTTTTTTTTAATTACTGATAATCAAAAAATATGTTTGTCAAGTTATTTGAAATATTTTTAAATATTTTTTTCTTACTAATTTATATCATCTCATTTGTCCAATTATTTTCTTTACAGTCAACCGTATTTTTTTTTCTTTTTTTTTTTTTTTTGAAAAATTATTACTCTTAATTACATTGTTTATAAAGATAATATTTAGTTTTACAGTAACTTTCAAACTGTATTTTAATACTTTTATTCATAATTATGATAAATTATTATTTAAAAAAAAAAAGAAAAAAAACAAACTAAAAAATTTGATTACAATTTTTCAAACAAAAATTGAAACTTTAAATTAATAAAATTACATTAAATATATATTTTCAATTTGAAAATTTCAAAATACGACAACAACAAAAATATTTCATTCATCCTTTACCATTGTTCTTCTTTTTTTTTTTTTTACATCAAAAATCATTCTAATTTTTCTAAAACTCTAATAATGATCCCTCAATTGTTCCACTTCCAAGGTATCACATTTTTACATCTTAATTTGTGTTGTTAAATAAAAAAAAAATATAATTATAATGAATTATTCTTCAAATTAAAAAGAAAAAAAAAAAAGAAAGACAATTCACTTCTATGAGTAAAAATAATTCATTATTATGATTAATATTGTTTTTTTTGTTCTTTTTTTTTGGCAATTATTATTATTAGTATAATTATTATTACTGTAAATGTTACAGATGATAGAACACCAAGAAGTGCAGTATTGGCTGCAAGGGAAATAACTTCATCACCATCTTGCAGTTACATGGCACATGAAAAACTCTCATACGCGTTTAGTGTTTGGCGTATGGAAGGTGACTGGAATACTAATTCATAATTAAGTACCTGGTATATATATATATTAATTCACATATAAACATATATACAAATAAAAATATATACATACATACATACATACATACATACATGTACATAAATATTACTAAACAATTTATAAAACATTTATAAACGAAATGAGAGTTTCAGTTTAACAAGTTGCAGTTAACCTAATCAGGATAATAACATATATGTGTTGAAGATGATTTAATGGTCAGTATATTTTTTTTTAATAATATATATATATATGTGAGTGCATGTATGTATTTATGTATGTATGTATGTATTTGTCTTATTTTTAATTAGTAGTCAGTAATAATGTAAAGTTGTAGAGTAATGGTATCAGTAATGAAAAAAAAAAACAACCAAAATTATAAAACAAAAATTGATTTTATGATTTATTTTATGATATAAATAATGATATATTAAATATTATATATTAAACAAAAATATTCATTATAATAATGTTTATCAAATAATTGAACAACATTTCATTTTTACATATTTATAAATACAGTATTTATATAAATATATGTAATTTGATTAACATTAGATATACCACCATTTTTAGTATACCAATGTTCTACTACACTAGTCAAAATGACTGGTGTATAAACAAAAATGCTTTTTAAGGCTTCCAGTTTTTATTTACTCTTACAAAAAAAAAAACCAAAAGATCTTTAACAATAATAATTTTAACAGATCAATGAATTTATAGACATTTTTAAATAATAAAACGATTAATTATTTACAGAAATGTAAATATTACATGTGTGTGAAGTAGAAATTTTGAATTAAAATGGCGTCAACCAGTCAAAATGACTGTGGTCTGGTATATATCTAGTGTTAAATATGTTTTAACTGTATAAATACAAAATAATTAATTGAATTTGTAATTAATATATTAGAAATAATTGTGAAAAAGATTGATTTTACAATTGATTTAATTTTTGATAATTTTGATAAATAATTTAGACTGTATAATAAATCATAAAATGAAATTTTTACACTTATTTTTTTTTTTGAGGTTAATTGTTTATTCGTTATATTCATTTTAAACGAATATCATTTGTTCGTTGTATCTCAGATATTATTATAGATAATATTTGCAGATATTTGAACAATAATTTTTAAGAAGAATCAACGAAATCAACAAAATGAAACTAACACTAACACAAATTCAAATTTACGAATTTAATATATACGTATATACATATACATATATATATTTTCGCTGGATCGAAATACAAAAACAACATACACAATTAGACTACGTAGATCAATACATGCACTAACAATACTACTCTAATCATTTTTCTAATTAACATTGACATTTAATTTAATCAAATCCGATTTAAATTAGATAATTAATTTAAAATAAATTAAAATTTAAATAGAGGGACGCAAAAATATAAGAAAAAAAAAATAAAAACAATAGATTCTGTCACACTCGACAATTTAAATTAAACTAAATCAATTTATAAAAAAAAAAAAACAAAAATAGAAACATAATGAAGACAATGATCTAAATATATTAAATTATTCATATAATTATAAATAATAATCAACTAAACAATGATCTATATTTAAATATAATAATTAGATTTATATTTAAATAAATAAATAATTTTTCTTTTTAAATGAAATTACTCAAAAGTCAAAATTTGAATTTACATCTGATATAATAGGGACCAGAGGGGGTTGTACAAGGGGTGGCATAAAAAAAATATTTAAAAAACATTAACATTACTTTTTAAACATTTATAAAACAATTCTCAAAATAATTCAAATATTTATAAGTCAACGTTATTATTTTATAATTAATAATTAATTATTTCATTTATATAATTAACCATCCGTCGGTAAAGTGGATTTAACTAACATCACCGTGCATGCATTTTTTTTTTTCAATATTATAATTATTTAAATAATTAGATAAAATTCATTAACATATTTTTCAGGATCTTTAAAATATTCTTTAATAGATTATTTTATTATTTATAAAAAAAAAATATAATTTTAAATTACAAATTAAACATAATTATTTGCAATCGTATCACATAACCAATAAGATTCAAACGTTGCCGATAAAGGGTTAAAAATGAATAGAATTCAATATCAAAATTTATTTAGGGTGACCAATTTTTAGAATGAACTGTACATACATACATATATATATATGTAGAAGTTTATATATGTCACGATTCTTTGAATTTTAATGACGGGATATTAATCATCTCGTTCGTGTTGACTTTAACACAGCCGGTAGTGCAACCCGATCACATTCCTCACAAGCATCTGCAATAATGACGGCTAATAATTTACGTCATCTCGTTGGTTTATTAATAATAGAAAACGACAATCATAACTGAATAGGAATAGACTAACATATAATTATTTTTAACATCGATTTGATCCAGAAATCGGGAACATTTATAATCGTTCAAATTTATTCTTCATTTATTGCCGCACACTATCCGCCATCTCTTCCCGCCAAAATTTTCAACAACTACATTTAGGTTAGGGTTTCTACGATTGCTTTTTCAATAAATTATTCGATGATTACGTTGGTTATCTAATAATGATAATAATAATTAAAAATATTATTAGTGAAACAATCAGAATAATTAATTAATTGTAACAATTATTTATTTAATTAAATAATTGAAGAAAAATGTGAATTTTAAGGGGTCGGGGGTTTCTTTTTATTTATATAATTTTTTAAGATATATTTGTTTGTTTAAATATAAAATAGTAGTAATTTTTAAATATTATTAGTATAATTTATTTAATTAGATTAATTAATTATTTTATTTATAATTAGACCATTATTATAATTAGTTCGAAAAAAATTATGGTTTCTTTTTTTCAGAAATTAAATTTAATTAATGTGTATTAAAGTATGAAGTTTTTAAATATATAACCTAAAAAGTTTATGTTTTTTGTATTTTTTTATGAGTTTGAGGGTGCTCACTTGACTTGATCCGTCACTGGTCATAATAATCAGATTAGTTATTTCGATTGAATGCACACGCGTTAGATGAATCAAAAAATATTAAATAAAAATATTTTTAAATACCGAACTAGATACATCTAGTATCGTTCTTAGAAACTATAATAGTGTTTCCTTTGAACAATTTTCAAAATGATGTAAAATGCTATCAAAATATTTCAAATATGTCGGAAGAATAATATAACTCGAGCAACCTTTACGATCCTTTAACGTGCTATTAACGAGACGATCAAATATGTTAAATTGCTACATAAAAGTTCCATCTTTGAAGTAACAACATGATACTTTTGAAAATAATTACTAAAAAGTAAAAAAAAAAAAAGAAAAAAAAAGCAATAATATTATTAGTACTTCAAAAACTATATTTAGATTTATATATGAGAATAAAAATTTATTTAGTAGATAAAAAAATAAATTAAAACAAACGAAAGAATTAATGATTTAACACTGGATATATCAGACCAGTCATTTTGACTAGTTGACGCCATTTTAATTCAAAATTTCAACTTCACACACATGTAACATTTACATTTCTTTCAATAATTAATCGTTTTGTTATTTAAAAATGTCTAATAAATTCATTGATCTGTTAAAATTATTATTGTTAAACATTTTTTGTTATTTTTTAAGAGTAAATAAAAGACTGGAAGATTCAAAAAGCATTTTTGTTTATACACCAGTCATTTTGACTAGTGTAGTAGAAATAGGTATACTGAAAATGGTGGTATATATCTAGTGTTAATAAAAAAAAAAAAAAAACAAAAAAAATAGAAATAGAAATTGAAATTAAAATATAAAAAAATTTGCATTAAATATATAGGGTGTCCTAAAATTTACTGAATATTAGAATTTAATATTATTTAATATTAAATTAATATTAATAATATTGAAGAACAGTGTTGAGTAGAGTTAAACAACAAAATTAAATTACAGAATGTATCGGGTGGTTTAAAAAAACACACACACAGAATTATTTAATGAATATTATTTGAATTAAAAACAATAAAATTGATTTTATATAAATATATTAAAAGAAATGAAAAAAAAAGAGAGAGAATAAAAAAGATAGAGATAGATTGATAGGAATTTATAAGGGTGGGGTGGGGGGATTGGGGAAAGGGGTGGGGGTGGAATAAACGAGGATTTTGGCGCCCATCAGTCGGCGTACAATGTTATTTCATATTTTCCTCTCACATTTTCTGTTTCAGAAATATTTTCTAAAAAGCTCAAAAGGTTACCATAAAGATGACATAAATTACTATAATAAATTATAAAAAAATATATGTATGGGATGAAATTAGTTTTTATTTTTTTTCTTATTTTTTTTTTTTTTATATATTCTTAAGATCAAAGGGGATTGGTTAATTTTATATACCATACATTCCTACAATTGGGAATGCTTTATTGTATTGGATTAATAAATAATAGAATTTTCGAATTTTTGCATTAGTTTTTATAGTTTATAGTTTGACTAGTAGGGTAGTATATTTTTAATGTGATTGATTTTACTTTATTTATCATAGAATATTTTTATAATAATTTATGGTAGTTTATGTTATAATAATGTGGTTTTTTATTTTTAACAAATTTTATGTGATTGATTTTATTTCATTTATTTCATTTATTATTATTTCTTTTTTTAAGGTTAGGAAGGGGGTTTCTTTTTTGAGGTTAGGAGGGGGTTTTCTTTGTTTCTTTTATTCGTACGATTAAATACATACTAAGAATTTGTTACTAGAAACTGTGTGGTTTATTAAAATTAGTATTTGAATTTATTATTAATGTTAATCGACTGATATTAATAATTTTATTGAAAATTATTCATAGTACAATTGTAAAATGAATAAACATTAAAATATGTTAATATTTTGAAGAACATTTAAATTCATTTTAATTAATATTTCAATATTATTAAAATATTGAAATATTTCAAAAAGAAGAAGAGATATTTTTAGGTTAGGTAAAGAATAAAAATTAATTAACAGAATAAATATATACAAATAAATC